TCCTGATATATTGGCATGGTAAGAAATAAATGTACATTTCCCGGGAAGCCAATAAACATATTAGGTTAAGCCTACCTCATTAAGAGGACAAATATGAAGAGATATTGGAAGGCTAAATGGTTCTTCACAGTTTATTCTTTTGATTATTAACCGGTTTCAAGATGCATTAAGTGTCTCAGCCTCAGGTTATTTTGGGGTCATCATGGATTTAATTTAGACTTCTCTAAATTTCCATTATGTTATATTATAAAGGAGATATGGTAATTTTTGCGGTCACAGCCTAGCTTTATAACCATCTACTCTAATTTGTCTTTTCACTTTTCCTGACACTTTATTTTAACCCCCAAAACCCGGCTTCATGTTTCACTTGTATTCACTTTCACGTAGCTTTTGTGTAAATCAAGTGTTAGGGTTAACTAACTGCCCCCCAGAGCCAATACTATTGCAAATGTATTCGTTTCGTAACTTCATTTACTAGTTCAGTAACTCCCTTGCTGAGAAAGAGTGTGTGCGCTGTGATTTGCCCATGGAAGCAGAAGATAACTTCCTGTGGCTGCACTCGGCAGTATGGAAGCTATATGCCAAGGATTTAACACCCACATTCAGTGATTATACTACCATTCACACCTAATCCCCTTCGATATTACTGACAGATGCTATGTTGCTTTATAATTCATTTATTTAATTTGTGTGTCCATGTGTGTGTGTGAGACTGTTACCGCAGTGACCGTGGTGTGTGGGATATAACACGGTTTATTCCATTCAATCTTGTCTGGATACTGTGTTTGCTTTACGTAACAGGTTTGTGTAAGCATTAGTATGCTTGCACTGCTGTGCAATTCAATATGCATGATGTGTTTTCTTCCATGTTTTTGAATTAGCAGGTGGAATTTACACATAGAAAGAGGTTAAATAGACTTTTCTTCACGTAAGAAGAGAAGGAATGGAAAGGGCAAGTTAGAGTGAGGTGGAGGATAAAAGGAGCATAATAGATGAGTCCTGTGAACATGTGATATGTAAGCCTTAAACAGGTGACATTATGGGACCACGTTTTCCTGCACGTCTAAGATATATGTCGATGACGTGTGAGTGTTCTTCTTTCAGACTGGAACAAGTCTTGAGGTAGTTATAAAGTAATTACCATTTTAATTGCCAAGCTTCGACATCTCAAAGAGGAAGTAGAACAAAAACTTGATAATCTTGCCTCTAGATTTTATAAGTGTGTTCCCCTGTGTGTGTGCATGATTTTGTGGTCCCTTAGAGGCAATTGAAGGGCTTCTGGAGTTGCTTTTTCATCACACCCTCTCTAATTAAAATCCACTTGTGTGTAACTGTATCTCCGTGTTTGAGGTAATTATCAGTATGGGCCATCTAATATCTAAGTCTCCTTATCATAATCTAGAGATTATGCAGACACTCTGCTTGGGCAGCAAAGGAAAAGGTTGAAAGCAATCATTTGTCATTAGTGTGGTTAAAGGACCACCTCCCATATTTCTAATGATTAACTGTGCTCATCACTTCCACACCAGACTCATCAGGAATAATCTAAATCACAAAATATGTACATTTGTATTGGTATATACAAGAAATGACAGCAAATGTAGGTAGCATTTTCAAATGATATGACATTTCTACTTCTGTGTCTGTAAATAATCAAATCCAGAACTTTGGCAACTAGTGATCACACTTAACCCTTGTGTTGTGTTCGAAAGCTGTCTACGTTCATGGTGTTCTCATGATTTATTTCAGTCCACGACATTCAAAAATAATTACTATCATCCAATATTGTTTTAACTACATCATCACAAATTTCTTATGCATTCACAACCTCACAATCCTGTTGTCATTTTATTATGTATGGCCCCGAAACATATATTTCTAAATAGAAAATGGGATTAAATTCACTCATTATATTCCCTATAGTGAAGACAGTGGATAATGATGTTCATCTGACTGTAATAGACAATTAATTAATTAATTCTAATGTAATTAGAATACAATTTCCCCCCCAAAACGTTTTTACAACTTTATATTATTAACTATAGTTCCAATACAAAAAAAACTAGAGGGTAGTTATTATATCATTTTAACTTGAACATAAGAGTAACAAAAAAAAAAGTTGTAATTGTTTTGCATTGGCATTTGTTTGGTTGAACCATCTGTCTATCAATGTCTATCAATGGCTAACGCCCACATCGGTTGCAGCTTCATTGCCACACTTTGCCTCCAAAACCCCACCCCAAACTTCCAGAAGCTTAGGATGCCAATTGGTGCTTCAAACAAGATTCTTTCATCATGTTGTAATATCAAAGGGATTCAGTTCAGTGTAAAACAGGTACAGAATACGTTTGTTTCTGAGACTCACCTTCAGTGTAATCAGTGAAGTGCAAATCTACCACTCACTGTTTCTGCGGCTGATTGGGCATTGTGCTGGACTGACTCAGTCAGGTTTGCATATATAATCATTCTCCTCTATAGCAACGGGAACAAGGACAGAGCCTTCTGCTGCAGTGGCCCCTGACTTCGGATTGCTCTGCCTGAACAGTTTAGGAATGCACCCAGACTCCTTAGTTTTTAGGAAACACACATTTTTTAAACATACTCTGAATAACACCCATTACATATGTTTAGCTACCAGTGCCTGTGCTTGGAATGTTGTGCATTGCATTCTCCTGCCTCATGTTCTGCTTTCTTAATTTAGTATCCTGTATAATGGGGCTTTGGGTGAAGAAAACACACTACAAATAAAATGTATGATTCATATTTTGAATGAATAAAAACAGCTGTAGTTAAGAGAACATTATAAATGAGTGACATTTTGAAAAAGGAGAACAAACAAAATGAAAAGAGTAGAGATAATTATCTCTTGACAAACAACACATACTATGCATATGTTTATGAGCTTCTGTACAAGATGGATTTTAATCATTTTCATTTGAAGAGCTGATCTGCTGCCTTGAGTGCTGGTGAGTATTTTTCATTGCTTTATGTGCATGACAATGTGTCAATCCTTGTGATTAGCATGATGATTACATTTATTATGTACCTATGGTTTTAAATACATTGTTCCCAATTGAACATTGAACAAGTATTCTTACTACTTTCTGAGTAAGAGTCACACAAAGGCTTCAAGGGTCAGCTGAAAGGGAGCCTTAGGGTGTTTCTCAATGTCGAGGAAACTGCTCCAGAGCCACTATTTCAAGGATGCTACGTCATCGAGTCCCACCGAACGACTGTTCCAATGTCCAGGATGCTTGGAATTCTAGAGGTCGGCGTCTTTCGTTGCGGGACATTTCGAGGCTGCACATGTGTATCCTCCGCGGTCTTAAAATCCCCACAATGCTTTGCGCACGGACCAATTTCCAAATCTTTGGCGGAAATCGCGCTCCATTTAAGGCGGGGCCACGCATATGACGCACACCTGTTAGCCTGTTCCACCATTCTTCATTTTCCGAGGCTAGGAAGGATTCTTGCATCGCTTCTGAAGGACCTGACTCGGAGGGACTTGTCCTACCAAGGAAGCGTCCACGACATTGAGAAACACCCTTAGAGCTAATTTAGATGCGAGTCATTACTTAATTTTGAGGCCTTGATAAATAAATAAGCTTGTTGGAATCCACTGAATGTAACCTTAAAGCTCTCAAAATGTGGTTGGTTAGTAGTTGCATCAATCAGGTGTTGTTTTTTTAGCTATATAATAATTTAGTTTGATTTCTATGATTCTCCCAGCACTCTCTGTGCAGGTGGTATTTGTGAATATTAATTACAACTTTGATCTATTCATCAGAATAAATTCAAAGGCTGTGATGTTAAAGCACCAGCAGTCAATCTGAGCGTATTAGATAACCAACTGTAAATGGTCGATATAATAACTTGACTAATTTCATACAAACTAAATCATTTAGAGGTCAATTAGAAACCAGAATATTCTGACAACCCTACATAAAACTATCTGTTTATTAAGCATCAAGATACACTAAGCACATCTAACTTAGGAAGTTGTGATTTCAGAGGCAGTTATATCATTGACAGCATGTGAATACACCTCACACTAATGAAAGCACTGCAATGATGGTTCAGTTAAACATGGTTTGTGTGCGTGAGTACTTGTTTACGCACGCCTGCACCCACATTAGCAAACCTGTTAAAGAGAACTCTTGATATTTGTAATGGCACACATTCCAGAGTTTTCTTTGCTCTTTCATTTGTAAGATAGATATTAAATCACCTCAAAGTAGCATGTGAAGAATTCGAACACTACGGTGCAATTTTTGAACCCATATAGAAAGTGCATCTTATTACAAGTTCTTAAATAGTATTTCTGTGTGCCTACTTTCAAGTGTCAAGGCCTGAATTACAGTACGCTCAGAAACTAGGACGTCTTTCGACAACAAAGCACAGTATAGTGAGCACAAAGCATCAGAGGCAGCTCTAAAGACATCTGTCTTATTCAGTATAGCCTGGAGCGGGTGGGAAGACAGGTGATGACATTTTATTTTCTTTCGATCAAGGGTTGCAGCAAGGGGCCTTGTAAAGAAAGTGCTTATTAGGTTGGTGAGTGCAAGTCAAATCTTGAAGAAGGAAAATCCTCTCAGCACTCGCAGTAAGTCTGACAGATAAGTTCCAGAGCGGATAATCGTGTCCTCTTTTAATGTAGCAGTTAGATCACAAGACATCACCGAGGCCAAACTGCAAACAGCAGCCGAATGCATTTTCTTGTTAATACCTCTTGAATGTGACTATAGGACATTTTAATTAGTAAACACATATATGTGAATAATATCTGTGGGTGAATGTGTAACTCATTAACCTCTCCAACTCCAGAACTACCTCTTCAAACACATATTTCAATGCATACACATTGGATGAAGCAAGAAGAAATAACATTCCTGAATAGTTATAACACCTGCCACACTTCATAAAACACACAACAAACTCAACACACACACAAAAGGACATAAGAAAATAATGTAAAAAAACTAAAACGTTGCTATACTTACTTCTCCTCTTGCCAACATCTCCCTTGGAGGTGGCAGCCTCATTTAGCAGCACCATCCCCATGGTGATTGCAGCATCTGGGAAAAGGTTGTCAAGGAAACAACACCCTTGCATACAGGCGAGAGAGAAACTGGAAGTACACACTGCCCAGAGGAGAACTGCTTGACACACACATGCACTTACAAATACGCACATTTGTGCATAGAAGCAATCAATCAGATTAGCAAGATCATCCGTCACTAGTACTCTGACAGCACTAAGTATATTTAAAGGGTGTGGACACAATAACATGAACAACTGAAATGGCTGAGGCTAGTGGTTTACTACTATACACCACAGATGGTCTGGAAGTCTGACGTAAAGTCCTAACGTGGAACAAACTTGGGAACTACAAAGACGACATGTTGTATTATATCACTTAAAGTACGTACACAACCCATTGATTTCTGTTTCCCAGATGATGTTCGGAATTAGGGGGGACTCACTTGAATTGTTTGAGTTGGGAGCTAAGTCTTCCAACAGATTGCGCTATGACCTGAATGCAGCACAATCGTTCTATCTTGCAATGTTAACAAAGGTATAACATAGAAAACTGAGCCAAAAACGTACCTCTGTGGCAGATGTATTAAACATAAAGCAATACAATACAAGGGCTCAGCGAGTAACTATTAAATAAGGCTCATAATAATCGAGTTGTGTTGAGACTGTATTGCACTTAAACTTAAATGTTAATAAGAAGCACTTCCCTGAAATGTCAATTTACTTTTATGTGTTCTAATATAATTATAAAGAAAGGAGAAACTGTGTTTTATAAATGAATCAAACAGGGTTCTGTTGCAATAGAAAACATTTCAGGAAAACCAAATCAATCTTTTTTTATTGTAATCTGCACTGATTTGGTCTCATCCTTGGTATATAATACATTATAATAGATTCCCAATTTAATGTAAGTTACACCTCACAGTGTGGGGATATCAAAGCAACTCGGCAAATATAATAACAATAGCACACATTTGTAAACAAGGTCAAACAAATGACTTGAGAGAGCTGATTCTGAATCTTAAATCTGAATCTCTTTGGAGAATGATAATGTAATTGCCGCAGAGATAAAAAAAAACAGCCAATATTTTGTGAAAAAAACTCACTTTTAATGTGTGAAGGTTAGATATGTTTTGTACTTCTAATCCTAACTTATTTATTACATGCAAATACTTTTTAAATGTTTGTAATAACAGGGTGGACACCATGTTTAGAATTCCCTTTGCAAGGGTTTCTGGGTTGGGAACCACTGCTGCTGTGGTAAAGCACATTAAGACTTTTTGTCATATTGACTTAACTGAACAATCATTTGGTTATTAAAAAAAATAGGCTGACTTAGTTCATTATTAAAAGTTCATTGAGAAAATATTTCTTTTTGCAGAAGCAAGCAGTTCTCAACACTTGAGCTGTTCTAAAATCACTGCAAAGCACAGCCTCAGGTGGCATATAATTACAGCTTCTTTTCCTCTGCGTGGGCTGCATTCAAATCCAAATTACAGAAGAAAACCTGATGGGGTGCACAAACAAAGGCTGCCACATGGGAAGAAACAGAGTGGAAACTGAGGCGTCCCCTTGATGATATGGTAGCAGGCATGTTATGCTGCCATGACACACACATAAGAAATATCTCCATACAACCCAAAGATTGAACCATTTGGGTAATTGGAAGCTTTGCCACACTGTGATAATTAAGTCATCTGGCCATCATATAGCCAGTCCTGACATCTGTGTTTATTGTGCCTGGCATGGTGCACCCTAATGTTCTAGAAAATATTTACACTACATCCGCATACTGTTTATATAATTGAAATAAACATATTTATATAAGCTTTTCTGATTGATATTACATTAGGAATGGGATAATTTAGAGTCGGACACTTCTAGTTTTCCTAGGCATTTCAACCTTCCATTCCACTACATTGAGAGTGCCAAAGGTTAGGGAAGAGATCAAATACCATTGGGCACAGAGAAGTGCTTTATTAAGTGAGTTAGTTTTCCCAAAATACTACTATGTTTAGTTCATATGAGTTCATTGTGTTAAAGTAGTCTAGCCTTTAGAACACATAGGCATGTTAGCTTTAGATTTTGAAACGTCTGCTTTAAAGCTGAAATCCATGTTCTTGTATTGAAATGTTGATATTATATGAGCTGTATGAGGGGTTGAGCAAACACTTAATTGGCATACCTGAAGACATTTTCAATTTGATGGTGTAACGAAGTATGTGAATTCACAATACAGATGCTATCTAACATCCTCATGTTGGTAAATAATACGATTTTTTTCATGTCGCTGTGTAAGAATGAATTTCTTTGCTTCTATTTCTCCCTTAAATGGCAAAGTTATGCGACTGTGTGCTACCTGGATGTGTGTGCTTGTGTATCAGGAATTAAATAGGGTTACATCCATGGGGAAACTGCCTCTATCACAGTCATAAAATGTGTTTACACCACCTGCGCAGATCAGACTACAAGGATAGGTGTGTAAGCCTTTCAGCAGGTGTGTGTGTTTCATTTAGATGTAATCAGATGGACTCAAAAAAAAAAAAAAAAAAAAAAAAAAACTGTGTTGGCACGGACAAACACATATTGCTCTGCAGCAGGTGCAACCTTGGACCTGCTATTTCCCATGGGGAGAAACACAACAGCTAGGAACAAACGGTATGATTACCCTCACACACACACACACACACACACACACACACACACACACACACACACACACACACACACACACACACACACACACACCACACACACACACACACACACACACACACACACACACACACAAAAGCACCAGTGCAAGTACACACAGGTATACAAGCAGACAGGAAATAAGACAAACAGAAGCATCTATATATATATATATATATATACACACACCCACACAGTTGAATTTGGAACAAATCAGGCTAGGAGGTGAAGTTAAAAGAGGACAATCTCTGGTCTTTGTATTGTCTGTGTGTTCAGTCCAGCAGGCAGCCTCCCTATGGAGAATGAGCACCAACGACAAAACATTTGTGTTGGGAAAATAAATGTACCAGACAGGAAACATTGGACACGGTTTCAGACACATAAGGGAGGTTTGCTATGTGCTGTGTGTAAACAAATCGTGAATTAGATAAATGTTTAGCCAAGACGTGCTGTGAGAAATTTCATAAAGTTAAATTGTAGATGACTTTTTGCAACACCTTGTTTCAATTTATATCCAAACATTAAATATCCAAACAGAGACAAGCTGGTTAAAGGATACTCAGAAGAAGGATGATGTGGGACTCAGCCACAAACTGAGCCTGACTGCTGCCATGAATGTAGCTCTGTGGAGGAGAGGGGGAGAGAGACAGACAGATTATAGTTTAACATTTTTCATTTACATTGATGTGAAGTCACACAAAATATCCTGAGTGAAATTTCCAAATTGAAGAAATAAAGAAAAATACAGTAATGAAATGAAGGGATTGCATTAAGAATGATGAGGAACAGCATTGCAAAGTGGGCGACATCCCAAAACAAGTTAGTAATAGTGAATAAAAAAAAGAGGGTATGAAAAAAATCTATAATAAAAAGTTGATTACTTTTTGTGACAAACCTCTTAAATTGTATATAAAGTTACAGAAAGATTTAACATCTGGTACCATCCGTTTTAAACCTGGCTTCAAATGATGCCATACATTCCCTTTATCTTTCCAAAGCATTACCTGTCATCAATATAAGCAAACCTAGACTTGGTGGTAGACAAAATGGCATCCAGTCTCTGGCTTAATCTCATACTTTGTTTTATCAGCAACAAGATGCTTTTGTGTTATCAGGAATATGTCATATGTTTGTGTATACGTGTTTGTGTATGAATGTGTGCATGCTTGTGTATTAGGAGTCATAAAGATGTCTCCATGGGCAGATAGGTCAATCTAACCCTCAGGAACAGAACATATTGTATTAACACTTATTGACTGCCCAAGCTCCAAATGGGGCCTCCCACTGTTAACTTTCTGGGTTTATGCAACTCTATCTTAATGCATCTTTCCAGAGAAAACAATGTAAGTTCAGTGAAACAAATATCAAAACCCCTGCTTGGCTCAGAAAGCATTCATACAGGTATCTATTGATTTAAAGTCTCATTCATTCCCATTTAATCAGTTATGGTGCAACCAAAGGTTGTCATTTTTAATTGGTTGTCAACTCTCAAGCATGTAGGTCTGAAAAATGACCCGAGAGAGGAAAAATAAGAGAGAAGGCTGGTGTGCTGTTGAGGGAACAGGCCATGTTGTCAATGGAATAGGCCCTCTGATAATAACTGTATGTATGCTCTTATTCTTTGGTGGTATGTAGTAGGGATTTGAGATAATTAATTTCTTCTTCATGTACAGAAACTCCATCATGTATTATTCTTATTTTTACTTGCCCACAACCAAAAGAGAATAGGTTGACTTTAATGGCAATTTAAGGTTTAGGTAACAGCAAACAACTATTTTTAATGGAAACATTGTGAAATAATGTCTGATGATATTTTTGAATTTGAAATGTACTAGGAATTAACTTTTTGCAAAGGGAGATGATTTTACCGAGTTTACTTCTAGTTAAAACTTAGAAAGATTCAGATTAATTAGTATTTGGTTACAGTTAAGGCAAAGGACATTCATTTAGTCAAAGTCCTTACACTCACAAGTGATACTGGCCTTACTGTATTTATAAACCACTTGACAATGTTCCTGTTCAGATCTCTGTTACAGTTTGTATCAATTGTCTCAACCCTGCAAGAGAGTCAGCACTCAGCTTAAGCTTTGCACAAGCGAGGCTCTCCAATTGGATGTCAGAGGCCCAATTGGACTGGCATGTGTCTGTGTGTGATGGGCGAAGAGCACAGACAAAGGAAGACAAAGTGGAAGTCTTGTGGAAATGAGAAAAATAGCAGGGCAGGAGGAAGGAAGTCTTTCAGTGTGTTTCACATTGTTGAATCCCAGCAGATTATGAGTGTCTGGGTTTACGGCACATCTAGGGCCTGTTTTTCCACTTGACTGCCTCAGTGTTCATTTCTTTCACTATCAGACAGGAATAAGGATGGCAAGATGAATAGAAGATGACAAAGGAGGAGGAGTAAAGGGTGGACAGCTTTTTCTTGCTTCAGTGGATATAAATGAATTTTTTTTGCAATTGAAAGCAGACATAAAGACAACTAAGACTCAAGGCTGAAACAGATCCCTTTGTCTTCAACACAAACCTGTTATTTTTGCATTAAGTGGGGTTTTTGCATTTTTTACAAGACACTTGCTTTATTGACTGACTAACCCAAGCTCCTTCAGTACCTCCATGAAAAAGTTTGTTTTGGTTGGTGGGTAATATATTCAGAAGTTTGTATGGGATTTATTTTTGACCACCGTTGAACCAACTATCCGTTGTAAACCAAAACTGAATATAAAAAGATTCATAAAGGTTAAGCAAGTTGATCTGCATATACAGGTAACTTTGTATACGTAATGATCAAACTCAGAGATATGCACGTAAATATTGTTGACATTTCGTATAATAACAAGCGTCAATTATCTAAAGAAAAAAAGGAAACAAGGAGAAGTCAAGAAGCGCATTTCAAATGTTTAAACAGCGCTGACTCACTGCAATTGGATGTTTATCCAAACTTTAATACGCACCATACGCAAGTTTCAAGGGCACCACGGTAAAATGGTCAATAACAGTAGAGGGCGGGAGTAGAACAGCTTTGCCTTTACAAAAGCTTGCTAACTAGCCCACGTGCAAACCTTAATTCAATGAGACAACCTCTTTTCAGTGGATTTTAAAGTTACTCTTGGAAAGTGTGACTAAATCAAGTACACTACTTAGGCAGGTGAAGGAAGAAGAAAGAGAGAAAAATTGTTACAAAAAAGATCACAACTCCTGAATATTTTAGCAAAAACAAAGATGAAAACTACTGCATCAGTATCTCACAGTGAACTTTTTCTTTCATTACTAAACAAACATTACTTTACACTCTTTTTCAAGACACCGCTCTCTGCATGGTGCCTTCTAAACATAAACAGTAACTGCAGATAGAGGCTAAGAGCAAGAGCAGTGCTTGGTGGAGGAACAATTCCTCAATCCATGGCCAGGCACTTCCAATTAATCTGATGGATTAGAAGGCAGCAGTTCCATTCATTAGTGTGCAGAGCGTTGAGTGTGTCGGACTCGGTGTACGTAGGCTTTGCATTTTAAACCAGTAAGTAAATGTGTGTCTGTAAATTAGAATGTTTTAGGGAGCTTTGTCTGTGTGAAAGGAAGTGTGTGTGTTCAGGAGAAAGACCCAAAACATCATGGTGGTCTGGAAGTAAAAGCAGCCACAATTTGTTAAGTTAAAGTGGACCTATCATGCAAAATGCACTTTTGTACGTCTTTTATACATGAATATGTGTCCCCGGTGTTCCAGGGAACTCAACAAGTGTCATCAAATACAACCCTCTCTTTTCCTCCATACCCAAATATTTTAAGAACGGGGCTACAACGAGCGGATACAGATTCCATCCGACCCGACGTCAGGCCGGAATACTGGGCGGTGACGCTCCGCCTACATGGGCAACGCTCCACCTATCAGGGGAATGGGGGGTTGCCACGGCCATTGCCACTCGAAAGCGCTGGAGACGCTGTAGTACATATGCCGGATCTGTAAGTGGCGCTGTAGTCTGCCACAAAAGCAAAAGCCTCTTCCAAAGGAACGAGCAGAGTGCGGCAGAGTTTCAGTTAGATATTTTTTCGCCGGTCAACATGTCCGTTAAAGTTTAAATCTTCCGGACAAAATTTGAAAAGTGCCGGTCAAAGGTCTTCTTTGTTATTTATTGAGCTTTAAAACAAATGAATAACGACTCTATATAATCATATCAGAATAAAACACGGAGGACGCAGCCTCTCTTTTCCAGCCCAGCAGCTGATCTCAGAGCACGTTCCCCTCTCCTGCAGGGGGGCGTGGTCAGCTGCAGCTCATTTGCATTAAAGCTACGTCACAGAATCAGCCCTTGCAAAAACAGGGCTAGAAAAGAGCAAATAGAGCGAAATTAGGCGTGGTTAAAATGCATGATCTGTTTGGTATTTTGAAAAAAATACTTCACATACATGTTTTATATAGGTATGGCCCTACAATATATTTGTCAAATATAACATGATAGGTCCACTTTAACATTGAGCTGAACAGATGCAAACGCAACAGTCACCTTCTATAACCTTCTTGAACTTTATAGGTGTTTTACAGATGATGTAATCCCTCTCTCAGGACTCACTGTACTAAACAAACGTTTGAGCCTGACCTTTAATGTACCCAGTCTGGAAATATATGAACATTATCCCTGGGATCTTGTTATGCTGAAAAACATTTTTTGTATTTATTGTAAAGTTGGTTGTGATATCCTATGGCCTAAATAATTGATTGAAAGAACAACACAACCAAGGTATATCCTTATCTTAAAACTTGCAAAAATGGCAGCAGGACAGTGAATGTGGGATCCATTCAAAAATAAAACAGTGCCCATGTTCATACCAATGGATATAGGCACAACTTTGTTAGTAGGATCAGTTCATTGTTTTAGTCAATGGTAATTTAATAAAGAACATATCAAATATCAGCACACATTTAGGTCCCTCATTGTACACACACAAAACGATACCAAGCTGTTTTATAATCACACATTTGCGATGTAGTGTTATTGCCCAACATGCTGACACACACTTTTTTCTCCTCCTTTTAAATACCTTCACTTTTGAGTACCTTCATACATTTACGCAGATTCATGCTGTGGAGCTGTCTAGTACAACTTTCATCTGCTACCGGTCCAATTAATCTGATTGATTCGTTTTTTTAAGAGAACCGTGTCTGCAAATGAGCTCGAAACATAGTTCTCTTTAAATAACGTGGCATGATGTATATGTGTACAATATCAGACTGACTGGTCTGAATCTGCATGGTCAGTTTACTCTACAACGTATTGATACATTTCATATTTTCAAGGCAACAATCAATTGCTATGCTGGGCATTTTTCAGCATACAGAAACTCACTGTATAAACCAGCCCACTCTCTTCAGTCTGCGTACAAATGATACGAGTTTGCAAAGACGTGCAATAGATACGCAGAAGTCCAATTTTGCGTGCATATGATACTCCCATGTTACGTTTGTTATGAATGTATCTTAAATGCGTTTATTTTCTACATATCTTTGTCATTTATTTAACCCTAACCATAACCCAATAAGCTGCTGTGTCGTTTATTGCACCGCAAACATTAAAACTGTCATTGGAACGGCGATCAAGCCTGAAGCCACAGAGCTCTTTGTTTTAATATT